GTCGTACAGATTTATCATTTTTCCTCTGACAGAGGAAAGTATTGTGTTTCAGAGTGGTGCTGCTGGTTGCTCACAGCAGAACATATGCTTGCAGAATCCAAAGCCTTTTTTATTAACAGCAGATGTCAAGTAGTCCTGTCAAAATGCCAGGGCTTATTTGATAGCAGTGATATTTTTGATACCATATCAATGTTGAATAAATTCTCTGGCTTTTTATTAAACATCCAGAAGAGTTATTTGCATGCTGGACAGATACACTAATGACCTTAATTTTTTTTTGAGGGTGTGATTTCCTGAGAGTGGAAGATTACAGTTTGAGAGGTACTCTGAAGTACCAGTGGCAGATTTGGGCATATTTTAAATTAGAGTATAAAATAGCTAATAACTAATAGGAGTGGATGGGGAAGAGGGAAGCAAAAAACTTGGATACAAAATGGTTTCTTTTTTTCTTTTAAATGGTATAAGAAATTATGGGATTGGCTGGCATTGCAGAATCCCTGTGCTGTTGCAAAGTAAAATGGTTTTGAAGTTCTTCAAGTCAACCATTTCGTATTCATCTGCTGTGTCAGAAAATAGCTTTTATGTGACAATAAGCTTACTGGGACATCATTAAATCATTTAATCCAGTTGTTTGGTGAGTTCCATGCCCTGATTACTTATAACCATGAAAGATTATGTATACATCAGAGAAACAATTTTTTGATGAGTGTGTTTATTTTGCTTGTTGAGTTTATAATGCTGGCGTTTTGCTTCTACCTTCACTTCCACTTAATCCAGCGAGTTCACTTCAGTAATTTGTTTCCACACAGAATCCCTTTCAGGAAAATCTTTCAGGTTCTTTATAAATGCACTGTGTTTGCTTTCCTCCTGCTGATAGATCCACAGCCTTTCTTCCCTCCTTTGCTCTGTGCTCCAAATGCACTTTTTCACACGCATGGCTCTTTAAGTGAAAGGTGGCTTTAATGGGATCTCTCACACGCTTAAAGATGTCCCTGATTTTAGATCGCTGTTGAACAGAAGCATTATTTTCATCTTGTCCTATGGGGTTCGGATTCAGGTAATGATTTCTAACAAATTCTCTGGGCATCTTGTTCATCTTCACAGGACCCATAAACGTATTGCTATGGACTTAGAGGCTATGTTTATAGGGCAATATAAATGTGGCCAGGGACATACACGCTCATTTTAGAAATATCATAATAAAATACTAGTGTTCAGTTTTCTTTGCACAGCACTAAAATGTGGGCCAGGGACCAGTCCCTCACCAAAGGCCAAGTAGCACCGGGTATCCCCTCGTCCCCACTGCTGAGGACACGTTTTCCAATAGCTGGCTTGCTCCGAGCAAAGCTCTTCAGTTCGTACCAAAGCCAAAGCTGCTGAGTCAGATGGGCAAACCCGGGTACAGTGCTTTGGCCTCATCAATGGCCATTTTGATTTAGCAGTGTAGATGAGCCCTCTGAGCTTCACTTCATTGCAAGTCGTCCCTTGAACTGGCTGCACCGCCGTGGAGGGTAGACTTGCCTGATGCACAAAACTGGCTCATTCTGCTCTGATCGTAAAGCAAAGGTTGCTGCCACCCAGGCAGGCTTCTTGGGGACCTTTGCTTCGTGCAGAGCTGCCTGGCAGAAAGGGACCTGGGGGTACTGGTCAACAGCCAGCTGAATATGAGCCAGCAGTGTGCCCAGGTGGCCAAGAAGGCCAATGGCATCCTGGCTTGTATCAGGAAGAGTGTGGCCAGCAGGAGTAGGGAAGTGATCGTGCCTCTGTACTCCACACCGGTGAGGCCACACCTCAAATACTGTGTTCAGTTTTGGGCCACTTGCTACAAGAAAGACGTTGTGTTGCTGGAACATGTCCAGAGGAGAGCCACAAAGCTGGCGGGGGGTCTGGTGCACAAGTCTGACGAGGAGCGGCTGAGGGAGCTGGGGTTGTTTAGCCTGGAGAAGAGGAGGCTGAGGGGAGACCTTATCGTCCTCTACAGCTGCCTGAAAGGAGGCTGTAGTGAGGTGGGTGTTGGTGTCTTCTCCCAGGTAATGGGCAATAAGACAAGGGGAAATGGCCTCAGGTTGCACCAGGGCAGGTTTAGGTTGGACATTAGGAACAATTTCTTCACAGAAAGGGTTGTTAAGCATTGGAACGGGCTGCCCAGGGAAGTGGTCGAGTCCGCATCCCTGGAGGTATTTAAAAGCTGGGTAGACAAGGTGCTTAGGGCCATGGTTCAGTGGTGGGATGGCAGTGTTAGGTTAATGGTTGGACTTGATGATCATAAAGGTCTTTTCCAACCTAAACGATTCTATGATTTTATTATTTGTGGGTGAACATGGGATGGCCCTGCTGAGACACAGGACTGCTGAGGGGGAGAAATTTCTTGTTGCTGTGTGCTAATTTACATGCTTCAGCAAATAAAACATGGTTATATCAGCAGAGTGTATTTGTCTTTGGCTTCTGTTTGACACTTCCACTTGCAAAATTGCTACAGCTGGAGTTGTAAGCAAATGATTTCTTTATTATTCATAGCAGCAGGTGCTGCAACAGCCTTTTGGCTAGAGTTATACTCTCTTGGTCCATGGTTTCTATATATTTGATTAGATGGTGCCATGCTGCTCAGATGGGATGCTAGTCCTCCAATAAATGTATTTTGTTATACAATCAGTTATATGGTGCATTATCATCATTATTTTCATAAATCAATTTTAGTTGGCAGCTTTCTGTTACCACTTGGGGTTGTTCCAGCAACAATTTTCATCCTTCTTGTATGGCATCCTAAAAAGATTTTGGAAGTTAACATCGCCTGGGTTTGATTTTATAATAGCTGCGCCCTTCTGGCTGCGCTAGAACACAGAAACCAGCCATCCAAGTAGGACTGACATATTTATTTTGATTCACATATTGTTTATGTATTCTTCAAGAAGTGCCTATCCCAAGATTCAGTATGGCAATTTAGGCACCCGCCTCCAGTGTGCTTATGCCAGCATCGTGATGCTAAAAATCAGGTGCCTGTCCCCAGCAGGGTGATTGAGAACAACGTGGCTTGCTGCACAGTGGAGGGACAGAATGATGTTCCTCATGCAGAAAGGCATCCCAAAAACCTGGCACGCTGGTGTGGGACCTGCCTGTCCCTTGCCAATCGACACAGCATGTGTCTGCATTTCCCACTCCTCTATGGAAGTGAGATGCTTCTGCTAGAACCCTCTCCTGAGGGCTCAGCACTGACTCCTTAAGTGATGCTGCTAGAGAAATTTGGGCTTGTAGTGCTGTAGTTCTGCTCCTTACTCTTTGCAGAATGGGCCACTGTATAAAGACTTGGGAAATAAGTTGAATTTCCTCTTCAGCCAGATGGGAATCAGAAGCACATTCCCCTTTCCAGGCTGTAGAAGACCTAGGGGGCGGCGAACCCTCCAGCCTCCCTAAGAGCAAGAGTAGAAGAGGTCTGGGCATGAGGGTCTGTGCAGGTACCACAGAGCCTGGCACTGGTGGGCCCTCACTGGAGAAGGGGGCTTATCTCCAGTCTCTGTGGGCATTTCACCATCACTGAGCTAAAAACCAAAAGAGAGCCTGGCTTAAACCTATACAAATCAATTCAGTCCAGGCAACCACACAGCAGCGTGCAGGAGCCAGAGCTGGCCTCGACTTGGAGCTAAAGCCAAGCTACAGATTGCCATTAGCAGAACCTGATTTGGATTCAGCCACTTGTTATTTTCCCATCTAGAAGTGACCACCTCACTTGGTGCCTGCTGGCCAAAGACAGGCTAACTTCAGCTGCTGCTCAGGCAGACCTTCAAATGGAGCAAGAGGCCTTTTTACAATGAAATTGCCTTGCAGAAGGGAAAACAACTGTAGTCTAGCTGTGCTTTTCCTGTTATTAAGAGAGCTGCTTAACCAATTCAGTTCCGTGCTTAGAGGAGGAATTTTCCAGTATCTCAGTAAAATTCTTCACTAAATAAAAGGTAAATAAAAAACATTGTTTGGTTTTGTAGACCAATTCAAGGCTGCAGAGGCCATATTGACTAAAGAGATAACGGAGCACTTGGTGTATCTGATGGAAAGGTGCAGATGGTTGCCCATATGGGGACAAGCAGATAACAAGAACAGGGAGTGTGTCACGGTGAGGTACAGGAGTGGCTGCCTTTTCAGCTGGCTGCAGACTGGGCGCTCCACACCTGTGAGTTCACTGGTATCTGGAAGAATCAATTCAGCCTTCTGTTTAATTAAAAAAAGAAACCTAAAAATTAGGTGCAGTTTCACCCATTATGCTAGTTTCATTTACAGGCTGCATTGCTGGGAGAGTTGACGGATCAATGATATGAAAGGAGAATGGGTGATATGCGTTTAATCACTGGCAACAACCTCCCTATTTGGGCACTGAAAGCTATTATAGAGAAAAGTAATGGACCGAGAGTTTCTTCCAAGCATGACGTTAATGGTACCGCTTTCAGTTAGCATGGCAGACCTGAAGCAGGGAGATGAAAAACATGAAGAACACAACACAGCGAGTCAGTTTGGCACGTCCCTCAGAGAGAGGGACCCTCTCCTGGTCATAGACAAATGAGCACCATCATGCCACCACTCCGATCTGCTATAGCCACAGTGTCCTCTGTTTCCCACTGGTTGGTATGGCTGCCCACATGTGCCGCGCCAACAGCCTGCGGGCTGCCTCCCCGAGCCCCACCAGCATCATGAGACACTTTCAGGCACATTCCAGTGTGATGGACCTTATGTATCCTTGCAGCACGTACCCTGCTTGTGCCAGAGACTGCTCCTAAGCTCACACCCTGCAAGACAGGTGAACCTGGTTTGGGAATGGGCACCAGGTTGTCCTTAGCAAGCAAAACTAGACATTCCCCATGATTTTTATTGATGGAGCTCTGGGTTTTATGCCCTATGTAAGGTGGTGATGATGTTTAAGAATGACATAGATGATTGTCATCCTGAGGTGTGGAACTTATTTGAAGGAAAAAAAATGTTTAATTATTAACCAAAATTTAATTTATTTCTTACAGGTGCTGTTTCAGAAGCTGTGTAAGGAAAAAGCAGGTAAGACGCTGCATTACTTCTTGAAAGGTTCTTGGTGGCTTCTGTAGACATGCATGCGTTGATGGAAGACCCATGGGAATCTCTGCTATTCTGAGTTTTAGTTATTTCATGCAGTTGCTACAATCACTTCCGTGCTGCTGTTCATGACGTAGTGGTGTGGGATTTCCGTGGTTCTTAGGAAAGCTGATAATTCAGCAACTTGCAAGTTACACCTTGCAAAATGAGGCCGGAAATAACAGGGGTAAACCCAAGTATTAGTTATTCGTGTCAGAGTGGGACTTGTGCCCAGTGGCAGAGTTGCGGTGCCCACATCACTCCTTAGCATGAGCTCACCAGCTGGTTAATGGGGTTGTCAATATTAACAGCATTGGTGAAGTTGACTATTCTGGGTAAATTATTTAGTTACAGTTGACATTCTGCAAGGCGCTAAGATCAGAGCAGTAAGTAGAGGTAAAGGAATGGATACGCTGAACCCGACGTACGTTAGCATCCCAGGAGCTAAGGAAAGGTTTGGATGGACAGATATACACACAGAGGTCCTGATTCAGCAAGATACTTACATGCAATTAAACCCGCATTTGACAAAACCAATTCATTGTAACGGGGAGTAAGCAACTGCTTGGTTGATTTGCTTAATTGAGGGTAAATGTCCTTATTAAATTGTAATGAAGCACAATTAAGAAATACAGAGAAAAGAAACTGCTTCCCAGAATGAGGGTTACTGGAATTTAATAACAGCCCCACAGTTTTGCAAAAAGAAATGTCCCCTAAGTCTAAGTGAATCCTCATTCCCACAAAAGCTTTTGCCAGCTAGAAATAGTTCACTCATAAAACAGACGACCTCTGGAGTCACCTATTGCTGGCTGCTTTTTCTGTTTCGTTAGTCAATATGTGTGCAGCATGCGTCAATTAAAATGAAAGCAATTGGACATCGTTGTTTTAATTATTCCTCTGTCCCTAGATGACTTAGCATCTTTTTTTGGCCTGAAGGACTAGTTTAAGCCAGTTTGCTAACTCAGTGATTTCTTCCTGCTCAGAGGAGCATCTGTCTCTGCTCTAAATTGCATCCTCAGTTCTTTCCAAGGGCCACCTTAACTCTGTTAGGAACAGATGAATGAAGCCTTTTGCAGCCAATGTCACTGATTCAGTGGCTCTGCTGGCAAACGCGCTGGCTTAGCAAAATGCCAGCAACCCCGGCCTAGAAAACTCAGGTCTCCGTCGGCAACTTCGCCCTCATGTACTTAGTATCAGATCAACAAAACATGAAGGCTGTTCAGCATAGTGTAAATATAAGTATTTTCATTCAAGCTCTGTGCACATTCACTTTTCCTGCTTTATGAGTTGTATGTGTATTTATTCCATGATGGTATTTGCCAATGAAACATATGCCTGTGCTTTTCCAAAGCTAAACAAATCCCATAATTTTGGAGATTGATTTAGCAATTGTTTTTATTATTTTCATTGCTTGGATCAAAACCTCTCTGTGACACTGAAGGCTTCCTTTATAAAGAAAAGGAAAACACACCAATGGCACATAAATTTTAAACAAAACTGATTATTTTAGCAGTGCTCCCATTTATTACTATGATTAGTTTTTGAATTGTTTTACTTTTATGATAACACGGATTTTGTCACCAAAAGACATGAAGTTTAGCACCCATCTTTACAGTAGAACATGGTGGTTGAAAATTTGATAACTGCAGACATGAAAGAAGAATGACAGGTCATTTTCTGACACAGTTTGGTCACTGAAGTGGAACTTTAATCATGGAAATCTAGCATATGATAGAGCTGGTAATAAATTTATCATTAAAATTCTTCTGGCAAAAAATGCCCATTTCTTCAAACTGAACCATTTTACAGGAAAAGGTTAGCGTCCATTAATTTCTGTTTCAAATCATTTCTGTAAAATAGCTGCGCATGTCTCGACATGCAATGATCTAACAGTTTTCAAAGTGAGAAGTTTTGATTTCTATTTGGCTCTGAAACTTTTGACTTTCAAATTTGTTATGTTAAAGCATTTAATAAAAAAAAAAAAGATAAAACATGATTTAAATTTAAAAAATGGCCAAATCTATGTCTTGGACTGAGGAATGGGGTTCCTTCCAGACCTGCAGTTCCTAAACATTTCTGATATTTTCTCTGCTTTCTGGATAAGAATTTTTTTCCTGTTTTGGAATTTCTCATGTAAGAACACTAGTCCTGCCCGTATCAGCCATGAACAGAACGCAGCACTCTTTTGCTGAAGTTCATTTTCTGCACCACTTTCCTCTTATATTATCACTTCTTATTCTTTCTCATTCACTTTTGTCATTTCTTCTTCTCACCTCTTTCTTGGTAAAAGCTCTCTCAAACTAGAGCTCTCAAGGCCCAAAAGAGTCATTCCCCAGAGTAGCAGTGGGTCATAGTGGGGCAGCACCCTGCCCTCCCTACCCGGCAGCATCAACCATTTTGGATAGAGGCGGCCCCTTTAACCCCATCCCAGCAGGAGCTGGGGGCGCACAGGACAGCCCAGAGCCGCTGCAGCCAGGGTGGGGGGCTCCTGCAGCCCTTTAGCCCTTTCCCGAGGGCTGGACTCTCCATGGCTTCTAGTTGTTTTCCACGTAAACCATATTTTTGTGGAGAGGGAGAAAACCCTGCCCTTTGGACTATTGTTCTCTCTCTTGCTTACATTTTATTTTACAATTCTATTCTATTTTTTTTTACAAATAAATGTGATTTTTTGGGGCTTCCATTCCCTAGATTTGCAGAGGGTAACTTGCAACATGTTAAGCAGGATACCTGAAATGCATCCTAAGAAAAGCTGCAGCTGCACAGACTGCTCAGCCACCCCGGGGAACCCCCTCTGGAGTACCAGTATTGCTGGCCGTGTTGCTGCGTGCTAGCCAGGCCTAGTACCGTTATTTCCAGTTGTAATAATATTGGTACTTTTAACAGTGCGTGCACTGGAAATAATGATGTTCTGACCATTAAAAAAAAAAAGTGCATTGGGAAAAAAAATTTAAATAATGATAACGTATGACTCTAGAGGCATGAATTTATTCTGCTTTCTGTTTTCTTTAATAGCGGCAGGGTGGAGCATGAGCCAGTGGCTTCCTGGGGACCAGGGACAGACACGGGGACAGGGTCAGACATGGCTCCAGGATGGCCAGGCAGGGCCATGGGGACAGGGATGGGCCAATGATGGGATGGGATGTCAATCTGCAGGCCAGGTCCCATGGCCGGGCAGGGCTGTGGCAGAGCAGCCCTGCTGCAGTGTCATGGGGCTGGGGTGGACAGCCCTGGGTTGGGCTGCGATGGGGTTCCACAACAACAACTTGGAAATTTATGTATTTATGTAATTGCACACTACTCAGTAAATGCAATGTTATTAGGAGTTAGACCTAGTTTGCAAGCGTGGTGTCACCCACAACCTTTAAGATACAGTTAGCAAAGTGCAAGGGACATCTACAAGAGAGAATAGGCACTTTGGAGTGGAAAAGCTGGTTTTCATGTAGACAGGCTTACCCTTGGTCTGTAAGTTAGTGAGTTGTTTGTTGGCTTTCTGTAGAAGCAGTAGACAGGAAGGCGATTCACACTTGGACTGCTTGTATGTGACGGCACAAATAAGCAAGTTTTGTGACTATGTAAAAAATATCCTGTTCTGTGGCTTTACCACGACCTGTGAAAATGCCAGCTTCATGCACTGAACTCTTTCTTTGAGAATGAACATGGCTATCCCGGTAGTAACTGTGGTTCCAACCATTTAAACCACGTTCCTGCTGTTGTTAATAGATGATGTCATTAATAGGACTGCCCCAACCTCATCGCCATGCAATAGACCACTCTGTTCAAGTCATCATCATCAATGCTTTTCTTTGCGTATTTCCAGGTACATAACACCAAACCCAATCTGCACCACCTATCTCTGTTCTGGACTTGTAACCCAGGAGGTCCTAATTGTCTGCCCTGGTACCACAGAGAGCACCTTGGCCAGCTGCTCCTCTTGCCATCAGATTACTGCTGGTTTTTACATAGCCTGTGGTAGTCACTGTTAAAACCTGTCTGACTGATGCTATGCATCCTTACTGTGTCCTAGTACATGTCTTAGTAAAAATCATTCTACTCAGCTTGAGCGTTCTAGCTGCCTAATGTATTTTCAAGTTATCACTGCATAGCTCAAGATGACTAACACAGAGCACACTTCATCACTGGTGGGGAAAATGAGCTTTTACTTTGCTGACAAAAATTTGAAGTCAGATTAAAAGCTGACACATCCTCTATTTTAGTGGTATGTATGAAACCCTAAATATAGCAGCGTGCTCGTGTATTTGCTGATGCATGGTAATGTAGTCTGTAGCAGAATGGCAATGGGCTGGCAAGGAAGATGGTGCAGTGCAGTAAGACGATAAAATCCTCATGTGACCTTGGCCACTTCAGAAGTACTCCGTGGATAATTGTGTATCCTTGACTGATATAGTACAAAATTCAAATAGAGGCAGTTGTGGTGCCAGGGCTTTAATGAATAGCCTGATTCTGCAATATTTATCCAGGCATAATGCTAACTGACTTCAAGGAGAGGCATCCATAGTGTAAGAAACCAGAACTGTGCTCTTTAGCAGCTGCATATGAACAACTGCCCACAAAGGGCCTGATTCTGGGAACTGAGAGGGAACTGCAACTCCATCTGGCTCTTGGAAGAAACTACAGGTGCTTGATTCATTGCAAGAACAAACCCATGTACAGTAGTTCCCACTGATTATTTTTGTGTTTCCTTGGTCATAAAACGTTTTATGTTCGTGTTTATATTTTACCTTCGCTGCAGTCCTTGGGCAGGAGTTACGGGTTAATCACACTGTGAACAGGGAAATGGATATGGATTCACAGAGCCATAACCTGTTCTGGAATTTTCCTCTGCTCGTGGGGAGATGGACGAGGTGATCTCTTTCAGCCTTTCATGGATGCGTGGCAAGTGTGCTGGAGGTGGAGCTGAGGCTGTGGCCAGGAGCCCCCTCGTCTCA